TTTCTTTCTTTCTTTCTTTCTTTTTCTTTCTTTCTTTTTCTTTCTTCTTTCTATTTTTTTCTCTCTCTCTTTCTCTTTTTTTCCTCCTCAAATTCCTTTTTCTTTTTTAGACAGAGTCTGGCTGTGTTGCCCAGGCTAGACTGCAGTGGTGTGATCTTGGCTCACTTCAACCTCCGCCTCCTGGGTTCAAGTGATTCTCCTGCCTCAGCCTCCCAAGCAGCTGCGATTACAGGCATCCACCACCACCCCAGCTAATTTTTGTGTTTGTAGTAGAGACGGAGTTTCACTGTGTTGGCCAGGCTTGTCCTGAACTCTTGACCTCGTGATCTGCCCGCTTAGGCCTCCCAAAGTGCTGGGATTACAAGCATGAGTCACCGCACCCAGCCTCTGAAATTCCTTTTTATTATGCCAACAGTTTTTTTTCTGCAAAGCTTTATGCATATCACCTGCCCCTGACTGTGGGAGTGGGGCCTGCCACTTACTGAGGGGGTGAAAGACAAGTAGGGCTGCCACTTACTGAAGTGATGAGGGTAGGGGTGGGGCTGCCACTTACTGAGGGGGTGAGGGAGGGGTGGGGGACTGTCACTTATTCAGGGAGTGAGTGCGGGGTTGCGGGGAGTGGGCCCTGTCATTTACTTAGAGGGTGAAAGTCGGGTGGGGGCTGTCACTTACTGAGGACAATCACAATGATGATACTCGCCAGGCTCAGCAGTGCCATGATGATGGGGATCCCCACCTTTCTGAAGGTCTCCATGGGGGTACGGGATTTCCGCAGAGGGTTGACATCTGAAAGGACATGGGGAGCAGAGGGGAAGAGCATGCAGTCAGCACTTGGTGATCCCCCCAAGCCAAGATCCCCACTTGCCCTCTGGCGGGTGTCAGGAATGCCTTAAGGACAGTTTTGGTTAATGCTGGGGGGTTATTCCTGCAGACTAGCCTTAGCTGACCCAGCTTTCACAAGTGCCCCTCAAAGGAGACTCCAGGTCAGGCTGCCTCCCCCTTGTCTTGTCTGAGCCTGTCCTAGGACATTTCTAGGTTCTGTCTGACCCTCTCCTGCGAGGGAGAGGCCTGAGCCCCTGGGGCATGTACCCATTCACTGTGCTACTATTTATCCTTTTCCTGACCTCCTGACTTAGCTTTTGATTAAACATTAAGCTCCAGGTGGGCAAGGGCCTCCAGCACGGTGTGGGCTTAGTAGAGGCTTAATAAATACTTGTGAATGAATACATTCTCAGTCCCACAAACAGCAAGTCCCCAGCCTGGTCCTTATTTTTAAGGAGATTACCATCTGGGGGAAGAGCCAGGTGGAAGATAATATATGTTATAATAGAGACACCTTCAAAGGTAGACTGGGTTGCATTTAAGGTGGCACTTAAATGCAGGTGGGGAGGTAGGCACTGGCCCAGCGCAGGTGGAGGCATGGAGCTGCCTGGTGTGCCTGGGGTACCAGGGAGTAAAGGCAAGGTGGAAGGCAGGATGAGTGAAGGCAGCTGTGGAGACTCTTAAACACCATGTTAAGAAGTCTGGGTTTTATCCTGAAGGCAGTAAGGAGCCATTGAAAGTTTTTGAGCAGTGGAGAGATAGGATCAAATTAATTTTAGAAAGAGGAATCTGGCCAGGCATGGTGGCTCACACCTGTAATCCCAGCACCTTAGGAGGCCGAGCTGGGCAGATCACTTGAGGTCAGGAGTTCAAGACCAGCCTGACCAATATGGTGAAACCCTGTCTCAACTAAAAATACAAAAATTAGCTAGGCATGGTGGCACATGCCTGTAATCCCAGCTACTCGGTAGGCTGAGGAAGGAGAATTGCTTTGAACCCAGGAGGCGGAGGTTGAAGTGAGCTGAGATCACGGCATTGTACTCCAGCCTGGGTGACAAGAGCAAGACTCTGTCTCAAAAAAA